GATGTGCCTCAAAATGCACTAATGCTCGACCGGCCCTCCGTGCTCCCAACTTCCGCAGTTGGTACCAGAGTATTTTAGCACCACTCACGTTGTCCAGGGATAAATCCCTAAATGCCCGTAAGTATCGAGCGAATTGCCACGTCTTAGTGAAAAGTCCAACCGATGTGGAGAATGGATGGTTCTCATCGCCAGATTGGCGCAAGGGCCTCACTGGGAGGATGATGTCGTTAGTAGAGGTAAGTTGGCACCTGAACAGTACAGCTATAATTCTATCCCCCATCCGAAATCGAGGATCCTTCAGGACTACGATACTGGATACGCCAGAAACGCGGCCTTCTGGCCTGCTCAATAGCCAGGGAAGCCTGGGGGGCAAACCCTTAGCAATGGGGGTTCCCGTTTCTGTGGTTGGTCGAGCAGCAGGATCTTGCCTGTTGCCCCATATATCTGGGACAGGCCGAAGCCTTACACTCAAGGGAGTCACTGCAAGTCAAACCCTTGTGAGATCAACCGAGACAGAAGGTAGTTCCGTGGTCTTTTAAGTGGTGAAGAGTCGTTCTAGTGGTTGAGAGTCACCGAAGGTTACCAACTCCGACCCCCTGCTCCGTCAGCTGCAAGCTGCGTCCACACTACACCTCCGTTGGCGCTGACGTCATAAGTATCGCCGAGCCAGTGCCAAGCGGTTTATTAATGTCAAGTAGAAAATTACGAGAAAACTACACGTTTTTCCCAAAAAAATTTGATCATTTTTAAAGAGCAAATTTTTAGAATATATTTTATTTAAGAAAAAAATCTCTATCATCAATATTGTACTTTTGCGATGCTAATGTTTTGAAATTTTCGGAAATAACGAACGATTGCGGAAAAAGTAGGTTGGAAAGTGTAGTTGTAGGGAGAGGCCAAAAATTGAACTTGTCATTTTCGAAAATTTAGAGATTATGAATGAAAAATAGATCTGCACCATTTTTAAGTCTTGTTTATACTATTCTGTATAATGTTTAATACAAATTTAGAGCCATATTTTAGAAAACTTGGAAAATCTGTTAATGCTTTGTTTTGTACCCCAACAATCAAAATATATTTCAAACTTTCAGGGCCTCGAGATCGTTTAGATTGATTTTCGAGAAAGTCGTGTGAATTATTTTGGCGCTATCGTTGACTATAGAGAGACACAAAGGCGGAAAGACAGACGTTTTCCGGACGATCTATTTTCCTTCCTCACTTTACTACGTAAGAATGGAAAGTATTGTAATCGTGCGGCGGAAATCAGGAAATTGTGTACAACTCTTATTGCCGGGCCAAGTAAAGAAAGGTAACTTTTCGGGAAGGTCTTCCTCAGTGTCACTAGGGCTTCGAACTTCGTCCAAATTCGCTGAGCCGATTGCGGCGTGCCCTAGTTCTAAGGAGGCGCTCTCGATTTAATTTTGGGGCCATCATGTTGCTCTGGCGCGATGTTTACTAGCTCACCTGAACATGGTCCTCTCCGTAGGTATGTATCGTCATCATTCACTGTTCATGATCACCCTTCGTAGAGTGGAAGGCAAAGCACGTTACGAAATGAGAATTGTTCTCATTATCTCCGATCAATCTCTAAAAAAATTATTTGGGGAACTAATCTACTTATTTATTGATTTATTTGACGCCAAAAACAGACAAAACCTTTGTGTTACGTACTACGAGAAGTATAATTTGGGCATGTTTCATGATTTGCACAGTTGGATCTCTGGGATTTCTACCCTCGTGCGCGCACACACACACACTTTTAAAGTAAGTGATGTGTGTTTCTTGCAGGCATTGATAAGAAAATATTCGCTTCCGTGTAAAAGAAACTATTTACAGATGCAAATAAGCTACGCTGCAGATTTTGGCTATTTTAGGGGTTAGTTAAGGAATCGACTTTTTGCCACGAATTTTGAAAAAGTACGTTTCCCACTGAACTCAAGACACAGATTGTGACGATACATTTACATTTAGAAGTAAAGCAAAGGGTCATCTCAAGATTTGCTGAAAGGATTAGGGAAACCGTACAAAAACCTGATCGAGATGGAATTATTGCCCGAAAGTACAATATTTTTATGTCTACATTTGGTCTTTCAGATTTATAGAGTACAAATTGTAACTAATACAATAAATACTATTGTTAAAATTTTTGTATGGTATAAATACAGTTATGCCTGACACTTATACCTGACAATTATGAATTAATATTAACCGTGTAGTGTTATCTGGCAACGTGTTGTAATATAATGTACAAGTTTTTTGTATGTGATTTTTTTTGTATATAGCTATTGATACTGATATCTGATGAATATGATTCCTTCGTCGAGTGTTATACACACGAGTTTTCGTGGAAAATATGATACCAGCCGTGAGTAAGTCATGTTTACAGGAAACACGCGAGTGTATTTGCTTATTATTATACAATTCTTTTCTGTAATAAAAGTGTGTGAGTTGTAAGAAATGTTTCCCCAGAATATACCGTATGTAAGGCGGGAATAAACTTCCGTGAAATATACTAGAAGTATGAATGCTTAGTAAAGTTGAAAGAATTCTGGACGCGTAGCATAATAAACAATTTTCTGTTAACTTCATTTAAATTGAGATGAATTAAAGTTTGAGTGAACTGAGAGACCCAAAAATTTTGTTACCGCATTATCAGTCAATTACACATTGTTCTTTTTCAAAAGAGTATAACGCGATTATTTGAAGTGGAAAAACTATTTTGAAACAGTTTTCACTTTGTTTACTATTATTTTTATTACGAAACCAATTTCAAACATATGAAATTATACTATTTAGTATTTCTATTGTTAATTCTATTTGCACAACATCAACAACTTTTTACTATTTTTATGTTTCGCACCCACCACAACAGATCTTCGGAGTGTAGGATATTTCCCGTGGCTATTAGGATATTTATAGTTGAACTATTTCCCTGAAACACATGGCGAGCACGCAATTTCTGTTTATGTGCAAAATAAATTTAAAAAATTCGGTTACATGATTTTCATGAGAAATGTTCTAAGCCCTAAAAATCTATATTAAAACAAACACAAATATATTTGTGGTTGCACGATTATCACTGTAGGCACGGAAATAAGCGGTATGTGCACGATGAATACACCGGCACACAAAATAAGTTGTCAGACCCGACGGTTCGACACATGTTTCTCTGTGTATGTCGACTCGTCAATCCGAATCTGAAGTCAGAATTGGGCCACTACCATCCAGTTTTTCTTAAATCGCGAAAAACACCGTGAAGTTGTAAGTTGTAAACTCACGGTGGTTTCTTCTGATTTTAGATTCGGATTCAGCGCGTCGTCAAAAAGAAAAACTTGTTGCAAGTCTTGGGTCTCACAACTTTTGGCTCCTGCAGAGAATAATGCTACAAGACACCAAAATCTATTATTCGCATGTGTTTTTCGCGTTTTAAAAAAACACTGGAGGGCAGTGGCGCAATTCTGACTTCGGATTCGGATTTAGCTCATTGACATGCATGGCGATACATGTGTCAAGTCTTTGGCTCTGACAACAATCCGCCAAAACAGAAATTAAATGTCACAGTGATTTTTTGCGATTATAAAAACTGGACGGTGATGGCCCAATTCTGGCTTCAGATTCGGACATGTGCCAAGTCTTTGCTTCTGACAATGTTTTTTTTTATTTTGTGTGCCCGTGTTAATTATTATTATTTATATATTTTACCTTCTAGTTATATTGTGGTTCAAAGAACTGACGAAATCTACCTCAAAATTGCAATATGAATCTTTGCGCGATATTGAAATTTTATATTGCTCTGTTTCACATAGTGAAGAATAAAATTGAGTATATAAAATGATATCTGCAGTTAAGTTTAAATATTCTAGCAATTTTACTGGGTTTTGAGTAAATATATTACACCAATGAATCTGTTCGAAAAAATATTTTTATTTAACATTTTTGCAAAAAACCTGTTTGCAAGTTTTTTGCTTACAAGGAAATTTGACAAATTTTTCACATTTCTTGCTAATATACCACATGAATATGAGTTCTTTTATCGTAGTTCATAATAACATTTTCATAAAATGTTTGATTCTGAAAATGTAGAAAATTAATAACATTATTCATAAATGTATGAGATAATAGGGACTACAAACCATAATTTGTATTTTTTTTAATTTTTATTTTCAACGTGTTCTAAATTGTGCCCATTTCAATTTCGAAAACAATCGAAAAACATCAAAAATAAAAATTGAATTAATTTAACACAGAATTTTAGATATTTTTTATTTGTTGAATAAGAGATCATTAAATATAAATTATTCAGTCTTACATAGAAAAACTTGTACAACGAATTCTTTGTAAACAAATTAAGTACTAATACGTTTCATTCTCCTATAGCAACACTCAACTATACTATTGAATCAATACGTATTTGTAGATACATTTAGAAATGAGATAAAATCGTAAATAGCCAATGGTATTCATAACGGGTGCCCTTGCATTGGAAATGAGTTGAGAAAATACAAAAAATTCCATTGGTGGGGTAATAAAATTATTTATTGTTCATACTAAAGATGCTGTGATGAAATGAGGGGTACTGAGTAGTGGATGACATTCTTTCTCTTATACTTTACTTTTTCCTGTTTTTGGCAAAAATAAATGTATTTCCAGAAGAAATTTCCAGAAGTATTACATTCTGTCTCTCTCTCAAAAAAGATCTCACTTCCTCAGACTAACTCATTTACACACCGAGGCACATACCTACACACTGCGGAACACTCACAGATTCACTCATCAACTAATTAACATAGAACCATTCATGTTTGGTCATCCTCACATTTACGCACAGACACTAACACACAGACACCTTTGATATGCATCTTAACATTAGGTCAAACTCTACAACTCTCGACACACATTTGCAGATCAACTAAAACACTCGATTACACACTCGCACAAGCAAGCTTCCTCAGTTATGCAAGGATATGACCTACCGAATCTGGGCAGTCGTCACCAACCTAATTCTTGCTGACACTTGGACTGATAGAGCCACGAGGGGCATCTTCAATATTGCCCTCAAGAGAACTTCCTTCGTTCTCATCATCATTATATTTTTCATTTTCTTCAACTACCTCATCATCATCTCCTTCTTCTTCCTCTTCTTCTACTTCTTCTACTTCTTCTTCTTCTTCTTCTACTTCTTGATCACCATCTTCTTCATATTCATTCGTATCTTCAGTTTCATCTTTAGGTTTTTCAAGTTCACCACTTTTATCTTCATGATTACCTTCTCCTCTTTCTATTTCTCCATTTTTTGTCATTACTATTGCTTCTTGGTCTTCTGTGACAAAAGAAATAGCATTTTCAAAATTTCCTTCCGTATTAAATTGGCAAAAACCGGAATCATCTGTTTCTGCAACTGTGCCATCATGTTCACCATCTTCCGAGTCAACACCATCGAGGAGGACATTAAATCCATTTGGAACCCAGTATCGAAATGATGCTGCCAAGATCGCGAGCACCGTTTGCCCGAATTCCAGACATCCGCTCAAACAAGAGGAAATATTGACAAAGAGTTCTGCAATCAATAGACACTCTTGTTCTTGAAATTCTCTGGCATAAAAATCCACCGTTAACTGAAACAAAATATGCCACGAACGTTATATTGTCATTCCTCCCAATGTTGTGTTAGTGCATGGATATCAGGTTTGAAATAACATCTCATCAAAATTACGTAAAATTTAAAACTTACTGTACTCTGATGACCATAAATGTCTGACAGAATGTTGATTAAATCTTCGACCCAGGTGCCTTGGCAACGTTCCAAAATACGGGCGCGAGACAAACACATATGATAGATCTCAGCCAACCTGGAACAAACCACAAAGGTTTAATAATAAGCTCTGATAATTTTCATCATACCATCATTATAATGCTTGAATGTAGTGACAGACGTGCCCAACCTGAAACGGAGACCAACATTTCCGGGCCCGTCTGTCCCCCTCAGGGCCCTCTTTTCTATGAAACATTTTATTTTCAAATGATGTATTTACTAATAAATAAATAATATATAATACGGGGGAATTAAATAATTTTAATCATACAGGTTGGCCACTTCCCTGACGTTTTCAGTTTTTTTGTTAATTTGGTTATCTTTCCCATACTTACATTCCGTCAGATCAATTATTATTATTATTATTATTATTATTATTATTATTATTATTATTATTATTATTATTATTATTCCATTCTAGAAGTCAAGTTTCCCCCTTCCCATACAAAAGGACCAAGAGTCACTGAACGGTCGAATTTTAACGTTTACAGTACTTTCTCATCTTACGAGGTCAGGACGAGAACCTTATATCATTACATTTGTTGTAATTAAAATGTAATGAGGGAGGTTTTACTCTCATTTTAGGATGTTCTTCATGATTTGTTTTCTACACTATATTTTTCTGAAAAACATTATATGGGATACATTTCACTTTCTCTCCTTTATATCGTAAAAGAGAATGTACAGTAATCGTGCGCCGACAAACGAATTTTCAACAGAAAAGATAATATTGCTGGACCCTGGAAAACAAGTGAATAAATCTTGTTCTTATAGGTAGTAAATTACTTCATCTAACACGTTCTGCAGTCAGAATCTATTTTGTGGATCATTTACATCGGAAACTCGATTGGCAGCAGAAATGCCTGCCTCTGTTCGTCCGTACGTTTTTGGTCAAAGTTAGCGCCTGAACCGTTCACACGACTTTTTTTCCAAAATTGATATTTCGCGCTCGATTTAAACTGGAGGCCATGCGACTTTGAACGGGATATTTCAGTTTGGAATGGTGCTTTACATGTGCCACAAAAACGTTTTCAAGTTTTTTTGAAAAAAATTTCATTTTTTTAATTTATATGTTTCCATCGGTTAGTGTAAAAGGTTTAAATAAAGGCTTAGGTCTCATTTTCGTTGAAATCGCTGTATTATATTCAAAATAGATATTTTTTTCTTAATGAAATCTGTTCTTTAATGACATCTTGAAATAATACCATGCATAAAGTTAAAAAACTAATTGTAATTTTGAATCAATAAAGCTAAATTTTAAACGTTCATTTTCTAAAATACCGCTCCATTTTTTATTTAAATTTTCTCATTTGTCTAGGAAAAACCTAAAAATTAAAACTAATTCCATTTCCGGCAAACTCTCTGTATTTTCGTGTATTGCAAAAATGTAACATTCCAAAACTACAAATTTGATGATAAATTGTTTTGTTAAAACAAAATCTGTTCTATAACTCATGCCTTTAAAAAATTTCATTAACAAGTTTTTTAAAAAGACTAGCAATTTTTGCTTTAAATTTATTGCTATATGCTTCTATAAAATCTCAAAAACAGCTCAAATTATTTTTCAAAGAACACTTAAAAGCATGATGCAGAATTAATTTTCGTTTCACTTTCGGAATTTGCGAAATTAGAAATAATGCGAGAAAGACTGATTTTAATCTCGTTTTCATTAGTGTTTTCGTGCATCAACAGCTAAGGTCATTAATTCAGTAAGTATCGTGGGAGCTTCCGCAGCGGGATGGCAAGATTCGGCGCCCACCTACACGTCGACTATCGGATTTTCCCCCTACCGGGTATCGCCAGTGCAAGGCATAAGCTCCCGACTGGTTTCCCCACATACGTGGTAGTGTAGTGCAAGCAAGCGTAAGTGTGTGTGTGTGTATGTAAAGGGTGAGGATAGTTTTTAGGGTACTGCTCAATCAATCGCCTCTTGTTTAAAAAGTTGGCATTCGACATTCGGTTTGACAACAGCCATTCACCTGTTGTTAAAAAAGAACGAAAAAACCTATCAGAGCAGCCGACCCCTAGAATTCTTCTCCAACATCAGCTGAACTCTGCCTAGCCAATGTTGAGTCTTGTCTGGGACTGCAGTGACATCAAATGACGCCCTGAGTGACTTAAGCCGGTGTTTTAATTTGGAGAGGGCTACATGAATTTGACTATTGACATTGTAAGGATTTTTTGAAAACTATACCAAATGTTGAAAGATTAGTCCACACCATCCGAAATGAGAGTTGCAAATCGAAATCCATTTACGATGCCTAAATCGGCTTTTGACATATAAAATGTACAGAAATTAAATTATAATTTATATCATTTGTAAATATTTATTTCATTTTTTTATTTCCAGAATTTTTAGATTTTTATGCAGATCCGGATCATTGATTAATTTAACTATCCGAATTTGTTTGAAATTAAATAAAATGGAATTGATACTTTTAAAAAAATGCGTTTATCATGTTAACTATATTGATGTAGTTTTGTTTCTAGATATTTTATTATTACTGCTATTTAATTGATAGAACATATATTAAAAGAAGTATTGTCAGCAGAGAATATAATTATATTACGACAAAATGTTAGAATATGAACAGACAAGAGACCATTCAACAAAACACGTTTCCAAATTTTCATGCGATGAATATTAATTAAATTACTTCAAATAATAATTAAAATGCATTGTTACTCAGTAACATAGTCACAATTTAGATTTCTTTACGACTTCAGCATATATTCTCCAAGCGTAATTGCGTCCAACAAGGTGACGGAATTGAGATAAATATTATTAACAAATTAACGTACATGGTAATTAAATGTGATAAAATCCAAACAAAATATTATATATATTCAAAAATCAATATATTTTAATGCTTAAATTTTAAGATTTGAATGATATTTTAAATTTGAAACTATGAAAAACCTCAGCTAAAACACAAAATTAAAACCCGTGTCACATTAAAAATTCAAAGAAGTAATTCTTGGAACAATGTTTTCATAACATTCGCCTTTTGTCACACGTTTAGGTTACTAGTAGACTATTCAAAGAGTGACCAACAAAACAAGTTACGCACTATGAACAAAAAGTCGTTGTTCGGACTATATGTATCTCACATTGCTGCTCGTAGACATCAATGGCATAGCCCTTTCCTTCCGAGCCCTATATATTCTGGGATAGGTTGTAGACCCTGAACCCTGGCGATTTCAACAAAAAGTCTCCGAGAAGGTTGATAGGCGAGGAAGAGCCTGTAACTTTGTCATCCAATTCAAATGCCAAATTGCATGATACCTTTTAGTGTAATTTTATTTTTTTACGGATTGACGCATAATTACCTTCTAAAATGAAAAATTAAAAAATCTCTGACCTCTAAAAAAGTTCACACGTAGATGGTTTGGAGGGCCTCGTTCTTAAATGGCATGGATCAATTGCACAAATTGTGAGGGGAAAAATCAGAAATTCTTTGTATTTACAGAAATAAAATATTTTAATATGTAGAACTATGTAAACTCTCTCGAAATTTTTGAGAGGATTTGCCCCCCCTTTCGCCAAGTGCGTATGCTTGTGTAATGTATAAGGTGTGCCCAAGTGCACAGGAGACTGTGGTGAATGGTGCCCAAAATGTGTGATCACAAGGTGTTACCAAATAAGGTGATAAGGAAAGAAACTTTAATGTCGACATGCGAATTACATTTTATGTAGAACAGTACATCCATAAATATTCATTTACATTGATACAAAGGGCTTAGAAACATTAATTCACAGACATTGTTACGAGCGCTTAAGAAGTGAGTGGATGGCTCCCGTGTAAAAACCCCTTGGTTTCTGACGGATTGTCTGTTCCACAGTGACTTGCATGACCCTTCATAAACATTTAAGGAATCTCTGACCTTTCAAACATTTAAGGGGGCAAAGATATGAGAGTCGAATAGGAAGATATCGGGGCTGTAAGGAGGATGTTGCAGGACCTCTCAACAAAACTTCGCAAGGAGCACGAGGATTTTCTCGGACACGCCAGCTCTGTGTGTTTGATGTGATGCACTGTTCCTTTGCTTATCGCAAGTTCAACAGTAATTTCACGTATGGTGATCCGACAATTCTGCCTTATCAGCTCACCTACAGCTGCAATCGTAGCCTGTTGGTGACAACGTGCGCTATCCACGGACGTGGCAAGTCCTTGATGTCAACTCGTCCCGCCGCTAACTCTGACACCACCGGAACACGTTACACCGTCCGAGACACCGCTCGCCATACACCTCGTGCATCCTGCGATGTGTTTGGGACGCGTGTTGCCATTCTCCGCGACGAAATTGGATCACTGCTCTTTGTGCTGCTCTAGAGGAATCCATCATGCAACGAACGGCGGAAACAACGCGACCGAACTGAGGCAATCACTGCTACGACCTTCTCTCTGCCTGTGCAACAGGGAAAAACACCATCCGTCGGCTACGTCGTTTGCTTACGGGAAGTTGAACACCGCAACTGCTACGGTCTCCTTTTCATTTGAGCACACCTTATGTATGGAATACTTACATCATAGCCCCTTCTGGATTGTGGATGGCCTCGTTGTCTACTATGCGATTGAACATAGTCTGAAACTCCAGAAGAGCTGATCCACACTCGAAGTTTGAGAACAAATCTGTTGAGACATTGTAAACTGAAAACATAAATATATAAATGTTACCATCTTGGATTGATCCTGCGTTTGAAAATGTTGCTATTTCAACCAATGGTGATCGATAATTTACATACTTTTCATGTAACAAATAATTAAGTACTTACGTGAAATATATATGCGTTAATGTACGGATCTTATGAGAAGTATATTGTAATAAACAAGTTGTATCTATACATTATTGTAATTTATTTTGCAGATGCTTTTACTAGAAAGGTACTTACGGACCAACCGTGCCAGTCGCCTGGCGGAATACACTAGTTTAATATATACAACAGCAAGTTGCAGAATGTTGATACCTTCAAAATCTATTAAATGGTTTTCCATTGCCTCCGTTAGATACCTGAAGACGAAATTGTCAGTGATG